GGAACACCACCACTAGTGTGCCCTTGAGTGCCATCTTTGCGCAAAATGATTATACAAAATGAAAACTTTTTTTTTTCCCCGTTTTTTTTCCAAATTGAATTTATTGAAATCTCCAATATCAACGTAAGAGCTTGTGCCTCTTCGGGGGGTGCTAACACTTAACCATAAACGTTATCGTTTACTTTCTCCGTCTTTATATGTAGATATTACTTTTCTCCGTTAATCTCCGTCACGTTGTTTCCAAAGCAACAACAACTTCCTGTCAACAGCGCTACCTCTCCTTCAAAATAAAAGCATGTCCACAAATAGGAAGCCAAGCCAAATTACACTTAAGACATATACAACTGCAACGAAAGTAACAAACACAATGCGATATCCTTTTCAATTTCAAAGAACACAAATTGGGTTACATTAACAAATAACTATAAAACAACAATACTGTAGAATAACTAAATTAATGCCGTGAATACACCGAAACACACGTGTTGAAGTGGTTCGCTGCTGATTACTATTGAATTGTTACTCCAGTAAGATGGAAATATAATACTTTGTTTATTCATGTTATGTTAAGCTGCTGTTGTTCATTGCATTATTACTAGACTAGTTAGTCTTAAGGCTAGAATTCTGCACTAAGCCACATTTGTATTTTATTTTATTATTTGTGAACTTGTGAAGCTAGTCAAGCTACCTCTTTCCAGTAGAGTTATTTTTGTTTTGTTACTGCACTATCTGCACTCAATTTGTTTACATGGTTATTTTGAGGTGGACCACTGATAAGCTTTATTTTGTTTTGATCCAATGCTGCACAACTGAACTGATCCAATGCTGCTGTGAAAAAAAGAAGCTATATCCATGTTGGATAGAATTAGGGATGCACGATATTGTTTTTTTGAAACCGAGACCGATACCGATAATAATATAATATATATTAAATGTACCTGTAGTTTTTGCACACCTGGTGGTAAAAAAAAGACTAGTAGTGAGCAAATGACATGAGCATTACTACTATGAACAACACAAAGCCAAGAACAGTTTTGACTCTCGTCAAGCGACATCATTTCTATGATGAAGTTAGAGATCGTTTTAGCCCTGGGGTCGTCTCTGGCAAACTTCTTGCCTTTTTCAAAAGCCTCGTCGATAGGTAAAAGCCCCGGTGCCTTTGCAGCTGGCTTTGGATTCGCCGCTAATTTAGCAGCGCAGGCGTCTTCCTACGCTTTTAACACACCATCGTAGCGATGGCGATGTTTCATTGACTAATCAGGTTGGAAGTATTATAGCTCGTTGCCTTTTTCCCTCCTCGTGGAACTTCTGCATTGCATTTGTTAATACAAATAGCAAGCGAACTATCTAACACTGAAACTTTGAAATAGTCCCATACTACCGGCGACATGTTTGTTTACTCTCCTGGCTTCACGGCCGCACACCATTTACGTCACAGCCAGGCACGAGTTAGGGAGCGCTGGATTTGTGAAAAACTCCCCTCTTCCTAAACCACTAATACCACAGTACTGGCAAAACGGGAGGAGCCGAGTGAAAAACAAGCGCCCCTCATCCCAATCCACCCACACCGCAGTATTTTTTTCTTTTACCCAAAAAATATATTGTATATTATCGGGGCTATTAATACTGTTATCGGGTTTATTGGGGTGACGTCATAATTCCTAATATCGGACCGATAATTATCGGGCCGATAACGGGCCGATAATTATCGTACACCACTAGATAGAATGGATAGTTGGGTACTGTCATTTAAATTAAAAAAATAACCTTAAGGGACAACTTGAATGGTTTTTTCCTTTTTTTTCTCTTAATGCATTGCATAAAGATCGGAAAAAATCTGTATCGGCAGATTGTCAAAATCAAATGATCGGAATCGGATCGGGAGCAAAAAAAGGTGATCGGGACATCCCTAGATTCCTGTGTAGCTTCAGATCCTGCAGGTCTCCCTTGAAAAAGAGATCATTGATCTCAATGGGATTTTACCTGGATAAATAAAGGTTTTGAATTTAATTGAATTGAGATCTGAGTTGTCTTATTAGTAAGCCTAATTTATACTTTTGTAGCAACACTATTTTTATATAATCTGGCAAAGAAAGGGTTCAGAATCTTTTCTTTTTTTCCTGTGTCATATGTGGCAGCACAAGTTCCTCTTCAGAGAGGGTCTTCAGTACAGGTGGCAATATTGTCACCTGCCTGCGCTCATCTCTGAAACCGGACCAGAGGGCTCGACATTAACGACTGCCCGATGGCCATCTAGTATTTAGCTCGGGCAATGAAGCCTCACCTGCTGGTTGCCCGATCGGGCAATCTATTATGCCAGTATCATGCAGCTCGCGGATCAGTAATGAGTGACCCGACAGTGAAACTAAACATATCTATAACTAGTTTAGGTAGTTTGAGAGGTAATTAAAATAGTTACGTGTGATATTCTAACCTGAAGTGTGTGTTTTGTCCGCTCACCGCTGCATGTGATGATGCAGAGCTGCATGTCGACTCGTCAGCAGCAGCTGATCTCTCTCTCCCGTCAGATTAGACTTCACTCGCGTTTATATCCATATCAATCAGATCCAGCTAGTTCTAGCTAATTATATGACTACCTGCTTATTAAAAGACACCTAAACAATAAGTGTCGCTATGCAACTGGGTGAGGCCACAAAGTATAGCGCAGCATTATGCATGTGTTTACATGCCCACCGGAACCCTGAGGCATTACCAACAGATCAACGCACAATCAACCCACACAGGTTTCTGAGACAGGGGTGAGAGGGCGTCCACCCCGAGAGTGGGGGGGGGGGGGCGGTGTTTTGAATTTTGTCTTGAGCCGTCCCTTATAGATACTGTCTTTTTACGTTAGTGAGCCGACGTCAGCGGCTCCCTCAGGGACTTATTCCGGTGTGAACGTGATTTACTAGATAGTTCCAGCAAATAAAAGTTCCGGGGCAAGGTTCCGGGAACTATTCCTGGGAAAAGTACTTGGTGTGAAAGCGCCTATTATGAACCAAGTGTTTTGTGTGAAGTTGGGAGTCTTTCAGCACGGTGGTTGTACTGTAGTAGCATCTGTCGTTTTAGCAGATATTATGAATGTAAACATTAGCCAGCCGTCCGCAAGTAACTGCGCTGCCGTGGCACATCTCAGAAGCACTCCTGTTGTGTGTAGTGTTAATTTCGTTGACTAAAACTATGACGAAATATGTTCGTCAACGACCTTTTTTTCCATGACGAAAACGAGACGATGACGAGACGGCACCGACGGCAGTAAACAATAACTGTAACGAAATCATCATGCAATATCGTTGACGAAAAGTGACGAGACGAAAATGTAGTTTACTAAATAAAAACTATGCCAAAATCTCTCTTTACTTTCGTTGACGAAATATTATCAAAGATAACGTTACATTTCTGTACATTTCTTTTTCTCCCAGCAGGTCCATTTCCGGTGCTGCGGCAGGGCAGCAGCTGTGTGTCTGTGGTGCGCGCGGCGGCACATTTGAGTTACACCGGGCAGCGGAATAATAAGAACTGTCAGGAAGACTCGGGTCTAACTCATGGTCTAACTAACCTTATGTAACAGAAAATAAAATGGCAACAACAGGGCTTGGGAGTAGTGGTCGCACTCGCGTTAACCGAATACCCCCCTTTCAGCGCGAGTGAGTGATAAATTGTGCACTCGACGGGTAATAATGGATTATGACAGAAATGTTAATCCTGTCCGTCAAAATGACTGACAACGTAAAGTCTAAAGCCACCACTGTGGAGAAAGAAACGATGTGCTATTTGTGATCATTTTCGCTACAATGAGGCGGAGAAAAAAAGTGAATGCATTGTTTTATCAGAAGGGAAGCAATGTGGCCATAACACAGCTGGTAAAAACACCACAAACCTGACCAGATACTCTCTGCAAAGCTGCATTCTAATCAACCTGTGTTTTTCATCAAATAAGGACAAGATATAATCTTATTGTGAAATACGTTTGACTAAAATGACAAATTATTGGTTTTGGCTACACTAGTTTAACTGAAATGTTCTATATAATCTGATGACTAAAAAAGACTCAACAGTTTTCATTGACAAAAAGTAGACTCAAATAATTTGTTTTCTTTGACTAAAATAAGACTAAAATGCTCAGCCTTTTAGTCGACTAAAACTTGACTAAATAAAAACAGGATGAAGGTGACTAAATATGACTAAAACTAAAAAGGAAATGTATCACAGGACTAAGACTAAAACTAAATTAAAAAATAGCTGACGAAATTAACACTGGTTGTGTGTCATGTCTTGTGAAAAACCCGCTAATAAAACTGAAACTGACTTGAAACTAAAATACTTCAAAATAACAGACGTGCTGTCTTATTTACATACGAGTTATTCTCCTGCATGTTGTACCCCAATATTTTCCTCACCCGTCTCTCTCCCTTCAGCCTTCACTATGTTCCGCTAACATTGGCTTTATCACCTCGGCCAATAGCGTGACCTCTATATGGGGAGGCAGGACATCTAGAGCACTAAGGCTTCATCTGATTGGTCAATGCAATGTTTTCTATCGCAGATGTTGATATCGGGATGACGATAGATTTTCGATATATTGTGCCGCCCTAGCCGGGAGTTAGCTTTTTAACAGAGGTTGCAAATTACTTTTCTTTGCATGACTCTTTCGAGGAGCAAAAACGGCTAACATGAACATTTACATTTCTATGTTCGCAACAACAAAAAGTCAGAATAAGCACAAAGTAATGTTATGTGTGTATCTTCTGCTTGGTAATTTTCGTTGTATTGTTATTGTGAATTAAAATCAAAGTAAAAATTGGACAAAACAGATAAATCTAAACGTGGGACCATCTGATATATTTGCAAATGTGACGTGAATTTGCTGTCCTCTGTTGTACAGGTGGAATAATTTGTTGCACTGAACGGATTATCATGAACTCCCATACTCCATGCCTCACTTGTACTTTGATAAACAAACAACTGGTAACTGGTCAAATACGAATTTTGAGCCTTACCTTATTCATGTTTCCAGCTTGCTGAGCATTCATCACGTTGTGTGTACCCATCTGAGGCACTCCTTGGGTGAGTGTTTCTGCCAGCACACTGCCTCCAACACCAGGTCCAGCACCCACTTGTGCCCCCTGCATGCCTTGGCCCTGATATTGCATACCAGGTCTACCACGGCCTGCCGGTCCCAGAGCCCCATTCATCACTTGTCCTGCCATGACCCCATGACCCTGCCCACTGTTCAACATGGCCTGGTTAAAGCTCATGCCCGTGCTTCCATTGCCTTGTCCAGCTGCACCTCCCTTTTGGGCCTGGGGAGACTGGTGATTGGGAGAGCCCTGCCGCAGTGGACTTTTACCGAGCACAACACCTAGCTGGCTTCCCACCATGCTTCCTTGTTGGGCGCTGGCAGAGTTGAGACTACTTCCCAATATGGAGGAGCTTCCCGGTCGTAGGAGCTCCGACAGCTGCTTGTGTTTGGCTGCGGCATCAGGAACGATAGAGTTGAGACCAGGACCCCCTCCACCTGGACCGCCATTAGAAGACATTCCCAAGTCTCCATTGGGGATGAGCTCATCTGGAAGGTCGTTTTCCAGGTCAAACAGAGACACAAGATCTAAAAAAGAAAGAAAGGGAATTAGCTGTTGATTTGTACCTTGACATAGTACGACTTCCCTGCCTTTCCACTTTGTCACCACTCAGATTTCGTCTTAGTTATTTTGATATTATGTACGTTATGTTTTTCAATATGTTGTCAAAAAAAACTTTCATAACCAAACTCCATGGAATCGACCTTTGAAATATGACTACTTTTGTTTATATTTTGAAGACAATGTCAAAAAGCCAATGGCATTGAGTAATGCCTTGCAACTCTCGTCACCAACTACTACTCACATAAACTAACAAAGCACCTCTGTGTCTTGGTACAGTTGGTTTTTCTCACATGATACAAATCAACATGAATAACAAAACACATACTAAAGACCACTTTTTCAAGTCCTTTCATTATCATACAAATAATTGCCGGAAACAATTAAATTCTCTTTTCTGGTAATTTTAACGCCACACATCAGGATTGTGTGTTTAGGCCGAAACTTTGTTGTTCTTTATGGCAACAAATCAAAAATATCGGATCATTGTCAATTTATCTTCAAATTGTTTATGAAACCAAGCTCCACCTTAAATTACGGCCCGTCCACACACAGGCATGAAATATTTCAAAGCTTCGCCCATTCACTTGAATGGGGTGACGTAGAAGAATCTTCGCCGAACTGCATTGTGGAGAGCGGAGCATGGCTTTGCAAGCATCGTGAGCATCAAAAGTTGAGCAATGTTCAACTTTTGATGCTCCCGATGCTTTCGAAGCTGGCATCAGCCAATCAAATCCCGTTTATGCAAATCCTGCCAGTACAAGCGCTAGCCAATCAAACCGCGTGCAAGCTGGGAGAGCCAGACCGCAGTTCATTTCCTCATATTCCAAACGAGAAAATACGGTAGCAAATCACCCGGTTCTTTACGACCAGAACTATTTACCGGGATACAAACCGGAGGAACCAGGCATGGAGGGAGGTGGCAGAGACAGTGGGTGAAACTGGTAGGTTTTCGCCTGTTTGGGGATTTTATATCCAGTTTACTTCGTTTTAACATTGCTATTTTTTTCTAATAAAAAATGTAATGCATTATTATTATTATTTATTATTATTGCTTTGTATGTCGGGGGCGGGAGATTCATGTGATTGGTTGTTGGTCGCGTGAAATCGCCAAGCTTCAGACACGCCCAGCATCAAGATTTTTCCAGATTTTTTTGATGACTGTGTGTGGACGGGCCGTTGTTTATCTGTAAAACATTTAAAAATCAAATCTATGTAGATGAACACAATGTAACTTTGCAGTGTGCAACATTTGTATCACTGGAGGATTACTTATGCTCTTGTGCAGACATGGGCAAACGTGCGTACACTACAAGAGCCCAGTACCTGGGGTAAGAAAGAAAGGTGCATATAGGAAAGGTTTTAGCTCTTCAACTGACAGCATTCTTGTGGCTGTGTTAAAAAAGTGAACGATAACATATACAGGGTATATGCAGGAATCCTGAAGTCAAATGTAAAACCTTTTAAGACCTTTTTTAAGACCCTTTCCATACATTTTAAGACCTCTTTGCCACTTGGAGTTTTAACCGGTTACATTGGCGACACACTTTACCTCACATTTACTATACAGTATTGATTGTCCTTCCTCCTTATCTTCCAACCATTTGGACGCAAACTTGCATTACCCCATAACGATGTTGCTTAAAGAGCCTGTGACACGAGTTTCCCCCATCATCCAAACCCATCAATTTGAGTAAATATTGTCCCCTTGAAAACCGTTACTGAACTGATTTTGGATATTTGTACTTTGATAACCATTAATCTGCCCTTCAATGTTGACCATATTCTGGATCTTCTCGGGATTCTTTAAGTCCCGCCAAATTATGTGTGACGTCATTGCGGGCCAAGAGCTCCAGCTGCACCGTTCAGGATCCCAGCATCTGCATGTAAACGCACGATGGCGCACACAGCAGCAAGCTCAGACAGCGATGACAGTTTAATTTTGAACGTGTCTGAGAGCTCATATGAGGCTGAAGGATCGGTTTATGTTGTATCTGTTAGAAGTTTAGGAATTAGGTGCGTCAATATGGGCGATCATACGGTCATGTAGCCAGTGGTGGACTGGGACTAAAAATCATCCCGGGACTCTCGACCGGCCCACTTCGGTACCGCTAGTAAATTGTCAACAGGGGGAGTGGGGTATGTCAGGGGCGGCGGGTGCTGTAGGCTAGGGAAGGCTAAGCCTTCCCAAATATTTGTGTCACTGCATCCTGGTAAAATACAAATATAATGTATAATGTCTGTGTCTTTGACATTAGCGCTGCTAGCCACCTGTGCCCTGTACTACGAAGCCAGTTCAACATACTCAAACATATCCAGGGTATGTTTGAGTAACAAACAAACTAACAACAACAAACTAACAAACGAGATCTCGCTAAGCGGTCCTACGACGCTGGTTATCAACTCGGTAAATCAAGCCAGGGTTTCTCTCACCAGCTGAGAGCGCGTTCACATGAAAGGGGCGGGATTAGCTACATTTGACCAATCACAAACAAGGACAAGTGTACTGACAGCGCAGCGTCATACTTCATTAATGAAAAGAAAACTAATATGAGCTTTAAACATCCATGACTTAAACATATAATCCAGGATACAAGCCACAGAGTTGCACCTGCAAGGTGAATACAGAACAACTTGTTAAAAAATAACTAGGCCTACCGAGTGTTTGAAAGCGTATAGTTTTATGATATCACTGCCCCTAAGACACGAGTGGATCTGACTTTAAATGACATTTGACTCGAGTGTTTCGTCAACATAATGTGTTGCTTAAAATAATACTTCTGCATACAGTATGTGACACTGTAAGTGTTGCACGGCCAGATACGGCTGGAGAAGCTGACTCAGATAAGGAAATATATGATATATTATGATATTATATGATCGATGATCTGATTGATGATGTAATATGAATGATAAGTGCGACACGTCGCCGTCTTCTCTGCATACGGCAGTTTAAACTATATTTCCTTTATCCTGTAATATGACTTGGGAGATTTAAACTCCGCACACTGAGTTGATCTCTTTTCTATAGACGCCGGAGGCGGGCAGCGTCAGGTAAAAAAAGTTATTTAGCCTTCCCAAACCTGAGCCACAAGCGCCGCCTATGGGGGATGTGCTAGTGACTTATACCGGCCCATCGGGATTCGTCCCGATGGCCAGTCCGCCACTGCACCCAGCCCACGTAAACTGTCAACGGGGGGACCCTTGCTGCGGGGAAACGGTGGACCTAGTGTCCCGATCGGAGTGGGAATAATAATAATAATCCGTGCATTTTATCCATTATTTTCCCCAACATTGTGGTGAAAAAAACCACACGTTTAATCCATGTTGGTGTACTACAACTACAAAAAGCATCGGCTTGTTTTCTCATCAGGAAATGCAGACCGGCTCAAACAAACGATTTTTAAATCATCATCCTCACGATCATTTAATGTATCATATGTTCGCCGAATTGACATGAAAGCACTAATAAATGTAGTTTAATCCACTTGAGTTTACAACTACAAAAATAATCGATTTGTTTTTATATCACATCCTACGGGAGGAAATTCAGCAGCTCTCACTACCAATTTTTAAATCCTAATTTAATCATCATCTTCACCAAGATCATTTATGTTTATGTTCGCCGAATTGACATGAAAGCACTGACAAATATGAATATACTGTAGTCAACTTCATTACAACGTTATTAACGTGCCTAAACTCAGTAATTCACCATTTCTACGCATGACAACACACTTTGTCCGTGTTTGGCTCTCTCGCTGCACAGTGAAGCGTTCCCGTATTGACGTCACTTCCGGCTTCCCCCAAAACTTCAAAATGAGTCCAAGGAATTCCCCCGCGATGTTCGAAATTATTGATATTTATCGGAACGGTATCGCACCTTCTTTTTTAAACTGACGGTTCGAGATTACTAGTAGCCCAATATTTCATTGCACAACAGTTGTTGGGGGGCTGTCACAGGCTCTTTAACAACCGGCGTAAACGGACCTTCGCACGCTATCAAGCAGTGAGCGTGCAATGTCCTGTTCAGATCAGGGCTCTCGACTAACTTTTTTCCCCATCCTCCCGGAACCGTCCCGAAATACAATCCAAGCCGTCCCGAAATTAATGTGGACCGTCCCGAATTTAAAATGTTAGTTTTTCTACATTATCATTAGTTAAAAGCATTCAAAGTTACCTTTAACATAAATAAAACATCATACAAATCATTAGATGATAATTCATAAACTTTTTTATTTGAGTAAATCATTCAATCACATAAACAAAGGCCAAATATATTTAAACAAACACACAAATGAGAAAATTACTCTAATATTGAAGCCAATCAAGTCCCATCCAAATCACAAAAAAATCCAACACTGTGTCCTGAAGACAGAACCCAGAGTAACCACTAACCAGGATGACAGTCTGTAACACAGTCAGGAGGCCTTTACAAACGGCCCTGCCCCCTCACACCCAAGCCCCCAGGAAGTGCGCCGGACTCAGATGAAAATATTCGTGCTGGCCAAACGGCGGTACTACACTTCCGTTTGGTTGCCAGGCCCGGAAACACTTTTTCCCATTGACTTACATGGGGAAAGAGTGGTCTGTAACTCGTTGGATAATTTTTTTTTAACTAAATAAACTACCCAGTATGAACACTTGTATAGCCCTTATTAAAAACATTCGTTTCTCAAGTTGTAAAAATGTGCTAATAACGTTATTCTGAGAGTTATTTCCCTCTGCATTATGAACGCGCATCTAACCCACGGGACCGCGCCGCCCGGCACGTTCATGTTACGTGTCCCGACCAATCAGAGCACACTGTGCTCACAGGGAGGGTGGGGCTGGAGCTATTGGAGCTACAACGAGCCGTTAAAGGCAGAGAGTGAAATTCAGTGAATACACGTAGTTTACAGAGATGCTGTTTGAGAAACCAATGTGAGTTGCGTTTATCTTTACCCATGGATGCACAATAAGAACG